GCCGTACGAGTGTGAGGTGTGTGGGCACAGGTTTTCCCAAAGAGGAAATCTTAATAATCACAAGAGAATCCACACTGGAGAAAAACCATACGGCTGTAATGTTTGTGGTCAGAGGTTTACTCAGAGGGGTTCTCTCAAAGTCCATAAGAGGATCCACACTGGAGAGAAACCATTTGTTTGTGCAAAGTGCGGGAAGGCTTTTACACAAGGGACAACTCATCGCCGACACTTTGAAACCTGTGGAGAACCTGGTCTGAAGACGCGACATCTGGAACTAACTGAAGGAGAAAAAATTATGTGAGCCCTACTTTTATAGAGTTTGGTTGTCCTGAAAAATGTTTTATTACCAAGGCGAATTGTGGACTTGTGTCAGCCATTGGCAAAATTACCATCTTTGTAAAGTCCGAGAGAACTACTGTTCTATTGTTCTACTGTTCTTAAGGCTATACAAATTTATTTGGCACAACAGCTGTTTGGGCACATCTCAAGTGGCAGAGGTACAGGTTGGCCTCTACATAAATCTTGTAGCACAATAACCGTTCTGTATTTTTACATATACTCGTCATTATACATTATATTAAGGGAGTACAAGTTTAAGAATATTGCAGTCTCCAAACTAAATCTGTATTCACACAAGTATGTACACTGCATGAAAACACATGAATACAGTCATTTATCCTCCATTGTTTCTGGATTTGTTCTTTTATTAATCCTTGAACCTCAGTCTGAAGAGGGCAGTTCATTGTTTTTTACGTGTGTGTTATGCTCGGGTCAAATTGATTCACCACAGTAATTTAAAAAAACCCTGAATAAAAAAAATCTAGCTTTCAATGACATTTCCTAACTTGACCAGCCCTGGGCCATTTACACCCATTTACACTATTGATCTTCTACTTTTAATCATCTATGGCGTGTCATTTTGACCCAAAGACGCTTATTCAGTTGAACACAGAGACGTGAGTTTTATTATCGTCTTGTTTTGTGTAAATGACATGTAAAACATCCAAGTAAAATATAAATGTCAGTGTCAGCTTTATTTCCATAGCATTTACGACACAGGCTGTCCAAAGTGCTTCACGGGCACAAAAGAAAAAATCATGAAATACACGCACACACACACACATATAAATATATATGTATATATTTATATGCATACATATATACAGTCGTCAGCCACCGATTGTGCAAGTTCTCCCACTTAAAATAATGACAGAGGTCTATAATTTTCATCATAGGTACACTTCAACTGTGAGAGACAGAATGTGGGGGGGGGGGGGGGGGAAATCCAGGAATTCACATTGTAGGATTTTTAAAGAATTTATTTGTAAATTATGGTGGAAAATAAGTATTTGGTCACTTCAAACAAGGAACATCTCAGGCTCTCACAGACCTGTAACTTCTTCTTTAAGAAGCTCTTCTGTCCTCCACTTGTTACCTGTTTTAATAGCACCTGTTTGAACTCGTTATCTGTATAAAAGACACCTGTCCACAGCCTCAAACAGTTAGACTCCAAACTCCACTATGGCCAAGACCAAAGAGCTGTCGAAGGACACCAGGAAAAGAATTGTAGACCTGCACCAGACTGGGAAGAGTGATTCTACAATAGGCAAGCAGCTTGGTGTGAACAAATCAACTGTGGGAGCAATTATCAGAAAATGGAAGACTTACAAGACCACTGATAATCTCCCTCAATCTAGGGCTCCACGCAAGATCTCGTCCCGTGGGGTCAAAACGATCATGAGAACGGTGATCAAAAATCCCAGAACCACACGGGGGGACCTGGTGAATGACCTGCAGAGAGCTGGGACCAAAGTAACAAAGGTTACCGTCAGTAATACACTACGACGACAGGGAATCAAATCCTGCAGTGCCAGACGTGTCCCCGTGCTGAAGCCAGTGCATGTCCAGGCCCGTCTGAAAATTGCCAGAGAGCACATGGATGATAGAGCAGAGGATTGGGAGAATGTCATGTGGTCAGATGAAACCAAAGTACAACTGTTTGGTATAAACTCAACTCGTCGTGTTTGGAGGAAGAAGAATACTGAGTTGCATCCCAAGAACACCATACCTACTGTGAAGCATGGGGGTGGAAACCTCATGCTTTGGGGCTGTTTTTCTGCTAAGGGGACAGGACGACTGATCCGTGTTAAGGAAAGAATGAATGGGGCCATGTATCGTGACATTTTGAGCCAAAACCTCCTTCCATCAGTGAGAGCTTTGAAGATGAAACGTTGCTGTGTCTTCCAGCATGACAATGATCCTAAACACACCGCCCGGGCAACGAAGGAGTGGCTCCGTAAGAAGCATTTGAAAGTCCTGGAGTGGCCTAGTCACTAGCCACTGTTGCTCGGCGACAGCCCCAAAACATCACTGCTCTCGAGAAGATCTGCATGGAGGAATGGGCCAAAATACCAGCTACTGTGTGTGAAAACCGGGTAAAGACCTATAGTAATCGTTTGACCTCTGTGATTGCCAACAAAGGTTATATTACCAAGTATTGAGTTGAATTTTTGTTATTGACCAAATACTTATTTTCCACCATAATTTACAAATACATCCTTTAAAAATCCTACAATGTGAATTCCTGGATTTTTTTTCACATTCTTTCTCTCACAGTTGAATTGTACCTATGATGAAAATTACAGACCTCTGTCTTTATTTTAAGTGGGAGAACTTGCACAATTGGTGGCTAACTAAATACTTTTTTTGCCCCACTGTATTTATTATTTATATATATATATATATACATTATGTATATGTACAGTTCAGACCAAAAGTTTGGACAGTTTTATATTTTCGTGATTATGAAAATTGTAGATTCACACTGAAGGCATCAAAACTTAATTAAATCATGTGGAATTATGTACTGGGTTCTTCAAAGTAGCACCTTTTGCTCTGATTACGGCTTCGAACACTCTTGGCAACCTCTTGATGAGCTTCAAGAGGTATTGACCTGAAATGGTCTTCTAACAGTCTTGAAGGAGTTCCCAGAGATGCTTAGCACTTGTTGGCCCCTTCACTCTGTGGTCCAGCTCACCCCAAAACCATCTGGATTGGGTTAAGGTCCGGTGACTGTGGAGGCCGGGTCATCTGGCCCAGCACCCACCACTCTCCTTGTTGGTCAAACAGCCCTTACACAGTGTGAATCTACAGTCAATAGTCATGAAAAGAAAGGAACTCATTGAATGAGAAAGTGTGTCCAAAACTTTTTGTCTGTACTGTGTATGTGTGTGTGTAAAATGTAAACCTTGGTAAATTAGTTTTATCTGTTTTTAAACATGTTATTTTAAAACAAAGCCAAGACTTACAAATGTGACTTCTAGTGAAGGACAGTAACTGAGGGACACTTGTTCACGGTTTGTAGAACAGGGCAAGTGTCAGGCTAACTATTAGCATTAGCCTCTGACACAAATATAAAGGAATTCCCAGAGTGCACGCGGCTCAGAACAAACTCGTGTTTAACACCTACTCACATGTGTGACTCCAGCACGAACTTTGTGTCTGTAGGTTTCCTCCGGATTCCCCCACCACTAAAAACATGTGAGGAAGTGGACTTTTAACTGCTTTTATTGTTGTGGTGTGTTTTTATGGTTTTACTGCATGCATTTTAATCACAGTTCCTTGTACACTTCCCCTAATTACCTGCTTTTAATCAAGACTATCTTAAATTGGGGGCGGGCACTGCAGCACGGGAGAGCGAGAGGACACGAGACGAGGACGAGGACGAGCACCGCCAGCCAGAGACCACGGGGGACAGAGCCCAGCGGGGAGAGCGGCACCGGTGAGGGAGCACGCATTGAAAGCGCATGAAGGCGTGTGCGCGCCCGGGCTAGGCCCACTGACGACTGGGATGTGCCGGCTCTCCCCCGCGTGTGCCCGGTGGCAACCCATGGTTGGCGAGTGGCTGGCGGGACTGCGGCCCGGTCCCAGGACAGAGGAGAAGAGCGGAGGCCAGTGGGGACGGACGAGCGACTCTAAAAAAATCTTTTTTAATGGACCTTTAGTAAATATTTTATTACATTTTATCCCCTTTTTATCCTTTTGCTTTTTATTGATCACACCCCCCTCAACAGACACTTTTAAACCTGTGATATTTTATGGCGTTGCTGGCAGGATTGAGGACTGGTGTGATCAGTAATTTTATATGGTTTTAACCTTGTTTTTATTTTTTTACTTTTATGCATTTTTTTTACTGGACTGAAGGAGACGGCCTTTGAGGATATAGAGGCCCTGTCCCCAGAAGTATGGAGGATTGAAAGTGCCACAATTAAATAAATAAAGACACCATTAAATAATTAAATACATGTGTCATTAATTAATTAAATGTTTCATTAATTAATTAAATATGGAATTAAATAAATAAATGCACCATTAAATAATTAAATAAATGTGTCATTAATTAAATAAATGTGCCATTAATTAAATAAATGTGTCATTAATTAATTAAATTAATAAAAATTACCAATGAATCTGTGTAAAAAAAATATATATATATTTATCTATTTAAATAATTATTTCATGGTCCTGTGTTGCAGTGTTTCATGAAATAATTTTATCTGTCAAACTCGCCCATCAAAAGTTGTGGGCGGGCTAAAGCCTGGTTTACTCAAATCTTGTCTAATCCATTGCTTTGACCTGAAGTGTTTTTTGGAAACATGGCGGCTACGCTGATGGAGGACCTTCATGAAGTTTCAAGGGAGTTGGTGCGAGATATTTTAGACCTTGCTGAGTATGTGGAAGCAGGACCTGCAGACCCCGAGCATATACAGAATAAAGCGGAGGAATTTATTGAAGTTCTTGGAGTTATTTCTGCACTTTCTGACCATGGCATTGACCGTAGAGTGACCGAAATTTTAGAAGAAGTACTCTACAGCTTCACTGGTACCCGGGCACAACAGGCAAAACACACAGAGGGACCAGGGCGTTTGGCGTTTGATATACCCAGTGCAGTTCTGGAGCATCACATTCTTTGTGGATTACGAGCAAGTCAAATTGCAGCGATGTTCGGAGTGTCAAAAAGGACCATCAGGAGACGCATGAGGCAAAGTGGTTTGAGGTATGTACACTACATTAATGAGTTTTCAGTTTATGAATTCTGTTTAACAGAACATTGGTGTAACATTTATCATTGTTGTATTTTGTTTGCAGAAAGAGAGACCTCTATTCAGCTGTGAATGATGAGGAGTTGGACCGCATTGTAAGTGAAGTCCACAGAAGACATCCAAACGACGGCTACAAGTTAATGCGTGGTCATTTGAATGCAAGAGGTGTGCGTATTCCAAGTGAGTATAATGATATGGTGTAATTTAGGTTAGCAATTTGTTAAGTCTCTTTCATAACATGAAATTAACTTTTTTGGTTATGCTGTAGTGTAGTACTTTTACACGCATTGTTTTTTTATTATAATACGACTATTTCTTCAAAATAAGTGACACCACAGGAAACTGCCAGTGAGAGTATGGTTATTTTATTTTCTTCCCCTCAGTCTCAAGACTGCAAGAGTCTTTACGCAGAGTCGATGCAGAGGGAGTTCACCTGAGACGTCTAAGGTTGCGCGTATTAAGACGACGGCAGTATTCTGTTCCTGGCCCAAACTCTTTGTGGCACATAGATGGGCACCATAAGCTAATCAGGTCGGTAATGTTGGCAGAGAATCGGTGCATCTAATCAGAAGTGCTTTACAAAAATAATGTGTGTGTTCACATTGTCTGACAGGTGGAGATTTGTTGTCCATGGTGGGGTGGATGGATTCAGTCGTTTAGTGGTCTACCTGACTGTGGCTGGCAATAATAGAGCTTGCACAGTCTTACAAAGTTTTATCGCTGCTGTTGAGCAGTATGGGCTACCTTCAAGGGTACGGTCTGATAAAGGGGGAGAGAATGCAGATGTGGCAGAATTCATGATCAGGAGCAGAGGTACTGACAGGAATTCGCACATCACAGGCAGAAGCGTCCATAACCAACGGTAAATAAATGTTTGGCTCACACAACAAGCACACCATATGAATGTACTTTTTTAGCATATGCCACACATAAATTAACACCTTTGTCAATTTGATCCAAAACACAGAATAGAAAGGATGTGGAGGGATGTTTATGAACATGCACTGGACCTCTTCTATCAGATCTTCACTTCATTGGAATATCAGGGAACACTGAATCCAGACAATGAAGTCCATCTTTTTGCCCTGCACTGGATCTTCCTTCCACTAATCCAGCAAAGCCTCAACTCTTTCCGAGATGCTTGGAACTTTCATGGTCTTAGAACTGAAAGGAATCAATCACCACAGCAACTCTGGAGAAGATACAGAGAGCAAGGCCCTATGGAGGATCCTATTGAGGTTAAAGAAAAATATACACCTTTTCATCCCCAAATTACAAAGAGACTTGAAAGTATTGATAGGCTAAACGAGCCACGGTATCAACACATGTATCATACGCAGTAAGCGTGCACGTGTCATTTTAAGAAAAGTCACATGAACAGATTCACTATCAGTTCGTCTCACACGCAACTAGCAGCAGTATGCAAGGGTCACCAGTTCAATGGAGCAACCAGACTATCGGATCACTAATTTTCTCATTTGAATCTGCCACAAACAAGTCTTGCTGTCACAGCACTTTGTATTTCATTTGTAATTTCACCATTTTATCTTGATTGGGGACTCTATTTTGGATCGTGTGGTCTGTGGTACTTTAATGTAGACTTTCATACATTAGTTTTGTCAGGAATTAGAATCATAAAGTTTCCATTTTCATAATCCTCAGCACAGTTACCTTTTACTCAGTATGGCCAATATGGTGGTGCTAATGAGCTGGTTAAACAAGCTTATTCATGTCAATTTGGTTCACGTTTCTGAAAGAACAAGCTCCATGCACACTGATACTGTACTAAAGGTGTCACACACACTTTGGCCTCATCTGCTCATCACTACTTGAAATAAAATGCAAGAATCCAAGGTTAGTGCCTTCACAAAAAAGAGACCAACGTCTTATAGGTTATATAGCTGTAGTTACAATGGTGCATACAATGCATACCTGTACTGTTACAAACTGAATTGGACAATCTAAAATACGTCATGTCACCAGTTTTAAGTACACAATTGATCATGCTTCTTGTCCTTTCAGGTTTATGAAGGCTATGGGATTGACTGGAACGGACCTCACGCTCTTCATGGAGGCACCGTGTCAGTCCCGGAGATTGAACTGGCTCGTGAACTCTCAGATGAAGAAGTAGCCATTTTGCCAGCTCCAGGAGTTTCTATAACTGAAGCACTCAGATCATATGTAGAGACTGTGCAGGTTTTAGAAAGAGTCTTAGACTGATGTCCAACCTATGCTTTTATTTAGCATTATAGAACAGGCATGAACTGAAAGTTCTTTTCATGGCAAAAAAGTAGTACAAGTATTTTACTTTGAAGCTATGCCATAAACTGCACAGCTCCCCTACTCTTGAACATACTTTACCTCCTGTCTCATTGAACACAGAATGATTAACATCAATGCTGTTCTGTTAACACGGACAGCCAAAGATACACCACTGTTTTTTTTTGTAAAATGTGTAAAAACATGTCAAATGCTGCACAGTATAAACTTTTTTTCCACATACTGCATTTGTGTCAATTGAACTGAACAGTGCATTTAATAACTGTCTGAAAAAAGACTAAACAAGTCCAAATCCAGTCCGAGCACTATTTATGGCAGCCAGAAGCGCTTCCTCAAATTCAGTGTAGATTTTGAAATGAGCAGGCAGCTTTAGTGTTTCAAAGCATGTGGCAGACGTAGGAAAGTTTCCCACAGAAACCTCCACTTTTAGTTCAGAAAAGACAGTTTCATCAAGATGGCGCCTCGTACGGTCGACATGGCTCTTTGCTGCTCTCTTTTTCTTTTGTTTTTACTTTTTAACTGTGCATCTGGCTGTTCCTACACCCGTGAGGAACTTATGAACATCCGACCCACCGTTCCCATGGACCTATTGCCTGTTTTCTTGGCATCTGCGGCTGATTTAGTTCATGTTCTAGCCAAAAAAGTGTGGGCCCGTAAAAGGGGAAAGCGCGGAGGCCTGCTCGTGCGTCTTAGGAGGAGAGGAGCGCGCACGGCTCTCCCCGGCATTTTTCTCTCCAACGTACGCTCACTGGGCAATAAGATGGACGAACTCAGCCTGCTCATGAGAAGAAACAAGGACTTCGCCACATCCTGTGTCCTCTGCTTCACTGAGACCTGGCTAAATGAGCGGATCCCGGACTGCGCTCTGGAGCTGCAGGGCTTTGGGCTGTTTCGCGCGAATCGCCATTGTGCGCTCTCAGGGAAGAGCAGAGGCGGAGGGCTCTGTTTCTACGTCAATACAAACTGGTGTAACGATGTGACAGTGATCTCCAAGCACTGCTCTCCTGCTCTGGAATATCTTTTCATTCATTGTAAACCATATTACTCCCCGCGGGAAATTGTTTCATTCATTCTTGCCTCTGTTTACATACCGCCATGCGCGGACGCGCGCGAGGCTCAGCGCGCACTCGCAGAGCAAGTACTGTGTATGGAACGCTTATACCCGGACTCTCTGATTATTATCCTGGGGGATTTTAATAAGGGAAACTTGAGCCAGGAATTACCCAAATACAGACAGTTTATCAAATGCCCGACCAGAGAGGAGAACACTCTGGATCACTGTTACACCACCGTGCGCGGAGCTTTTCGCGCTGTTCCCAAGCCAGCCCTCGGCTTCTCAGATCACTCCATGATACATCTGGTTCCTGCTTACAGACAGAGACTAAAGCTCTCGAAACCTGCAGTGAGGAGCTCCAAAGTGTGGTCTGATGAAGCTGTGGAAGAGCTGCGCGCATGCATGGAATCTACAGACTGGGACCTTTTCAGAGCTGCCACAGACAGCTTGGATGAATATACGGACACTGTGACGTCATACATCCACTTCTGTGAGGATAGCATCATTCCAACAAGGACCAGGGTCATCTATAACAACGACAAACCCTGGTTCACTGCTAAACTCCGGCAGCTCAGGAAAGCAAAGGAGTCTGCTTTCAGGGAGGGGGACCGCAGCGGCTACAAAGCAGCTAAATATCAGTTCAGGAAAGAACTGAAAGCAGCCAAGTCCCGGCACAGAGAACGACTACAGGAGCAGTTTGGTAACAACGATACTGCTTCTGTCTGGAGGGGCCTACGGGAGATCACCAACTACAAAACCAAAGCCCCCCCCTGTGCTGACGACCACAAGCTAGCTGACGATCTGAACTTATTTTTCAGTCGCTTTGATGCTGCCCCTGACACCTCTCCCTCCCCCACCCCCCACTACTCTAACGACCCACCCATCAGCCCTGCCCCCAGCCTAACAATAGCCGCTAAAGAGATTAAACAACTCTTCCTGAGGCTGCACCCCCGCAAAGCTCCTGGCCCGGACCACGTGTCTCCGGCCACTCTGAGACACTGCGCCAGTGAGCTTACTCCTGTGTTCACGGACATTTTCAACTCCTCTCTGCAGTCCTGCCATGTCCCGGCCTGCTTCAAATCCTCCATCATTGTCCCCGTCCCGAAGAAGCCCAGGATCACAGGACTCAATGACTACAGACCTGTAGCACTTACGTCTGTCGTCATGAAGTCATTTGAACGCCTGGTTCTCTCCCATCTCAAGTCCCTCACCTGACCCCCTGCAGTTCGCCTACAGAGCCAACAGATCTGTAGACGACGCCATTAACCTGGCCCTCCACCACATCCTACAGCACCTGGACTCCCCGGGGACCTACGCCAGGGTCCTGTTCGTGGACTTCAGCTCTGCCTTCAACACAATCCTGCCATCCCTGCTCCAGGACAAGCTCTCCCAGCTCAACGTGCCCGATTCCACCTGCAGGTGGATCACTGACTTCCTGACGGACAGGAAGCAGCGAGTGCGTCTGGGGAAGAATGTCTCGGACTCTCGGATTATAAATACAGGAGCCCCACAGGTCTGTGTTCTTTCTCCCCTGCTCTTCTCCCTGTACACCAACCACTGCACCTCCAGCCACGACTCCGTGAAGCTGATCAAGTTCGCGGACGACACCACCCTCATTGGACTCATCTCCAACAACGATGAGTCCGCCTACAGGAGGGAGGTGGACCGGCTGGTGTCCTGGTGCAGTGGTAACAACCTGGAGCTGAACGCCCAGAAGACAGTGGAGATGATTGTGGACTTCAGGAAGAGCACTGTCCCCCCGCCCCCACCCTCCGTGATGGACTCCCCCATCACCTCTGTGGAGTCCTTCCGTTTCCTGGGCACCACCATCACCCAGGACCTCAAGTGGGAGCCGACCATCAGCTCCCTCATCAAGAAGGCCCAGCAGAGGATGTACTTCCTGCGGCAGCTCAGGAAAGCCAAGCTGCCTGCACAGATGTTGGTGCAGTTCTACACGGCCATCATCGAGTCCATCCTCACCTCCTCCATCACCGTGTGGTTCGCTGGAGCCACAGTCAGGGACAAACAGAGACTACAGCGCATTGTGCGCTCTGCAGAGGAAGTGATCGGCCGCAGCCTTCCATCGCTGCAGGACCTGTACGTCGCCCGAGCTCGAGGCCGGGCTGGTCGTATCACAGCCGACCCCTCTCACCCTGCACATGGACTATTCCAACCACTCCCCTCAGGCAGGAGGCTGCGGTCCATCAGGACTAGAACCTCCCGCCACAAGAACAGTTTCTTCCCCTCTGCTGTTGGACTCTTGAACACTTCTTAACCTGTCCCCCCGCCCTTTATAAAGTCACTTTACTGCCCATCATACGTCACTTTACTTCACTGTACTGCTGTCACCTTACATTGTGTGCACCATGTGCACTTGTATATTGTAAATAGTAACTGTAACTCTATTTTAAATTTAAATTTATTCTTTAGAAGTGTTTTTTATTCTTATTTTTATTATCTCTTTTTGACTGTTGCACTGAGCCAAAGCAATTTCCAAGTCTGTGACCTCCCGTTACTTACGTTGGCAATAAAAATGATTCTGATTCTGATTCTGATTCTGAGAAGGAAGCCTCTCCCAGCCAACCCAGAATGTCAGCAGCTGGGCCAGTGTGTCTGATGAAGCTGAAAGTCAAAATGGATTCAAGATGACATTAAGTTAAACTTTAATTGATCATATCTAATCAATGACACAAAAGCATTGCTAGTAGAGCAAAACATAACGAGGTGTTATACCAGTTTCAATGAACATTCTTAAAAAGCCAGTGATGCAGCATATGGACTCTATGTCAAAGTCTTCATCACTGTCCTCAACCAGCCATATGATTCTTTCCAGGAGCATCTTAAAGAATCATATCAAAGTATTTTAAATGGAGAACTTATTTGGCTTCATTCTTGGTCAATGGAAAAATAACCAGTTCAATACATGTAAATTAATTAAGTAAAGAAAAAATATAACTAAATTTCTGACTTACCTGGGGTGTAAACTGTATTTCAGCCATTTTGGGGAAAAGAAGTGGGACAATATCTGGCCTAGATGTCAGCAAGGGCCATAGCATAACATCTTTCAGTCCCTTTCTCAACTGTTGAATTTGGCGCATAGTCCTCCCAATCACCTAAGAGACAGACCAGAACTATAACACAAGCCAAATGCTCAACCAATTTTGGGGGGGAAATGTTCATAAAAGTAAAATTATTATGTTAATATAATTAATTAAGAATATTTCAACCGATAAGACATTTACACATTTTTAAATAATGTGCCCCAATTTTCAGATAGTTCTTTTCCACCCTGCAACTCACTGAATGAATTAGAAGTTTGCTATGCAGCCATCTCCGATTTGTTTTTGTGACAGCTGGGAGATCCCAAGACATGGAGAGTTCTGACACGGTGTTCTTCTGTTCTGGTGTAAGTTCTTCATGTTCAAGCTAAACTCGAGACCATATACGTTATTACATTTTACAAGGCAAATATTTATTTGTTACATACCAGTTGAATGATACTCCTGATGTGCAGATCAGGACAGTCTTCAGTAACAACTGTTGCCGTTTCAGGGTCTCCATTGAACAGTACATGAATTACAGCAGGACTTAATCCTGTGATGTTGGGTCCGTCATGCAGGAAACTGTGGGCCAACATCCTTCCTGCAACGCGGAAGAGGTTGCTGTCAATAAGCACCTCTGATGCTGCTGGAACGAGGTGGTCAGGTTCACCCTCAAACAGTAATGTACGCCCCATTCCTCCTGTTAAGAACACAGAGTAGTCACAATTAACCACCGAACTGCATTTCAAATTACATCATATTAACCATAAAAACAAACAGGAACTTGCCAAGATTTAGACAAAATCCAAACTGGAGTTTGGAAATTACTGTTGTCATAAAGTGCCGCATTACTCCCTCTCCAATAGCAACATCACCTATAAATATAATACTGACAATAACACAGTGGTAAAACAGTGGCTGAATGATGCAGGTAACTGGACAAGTAACATTTAACAGGCAAGGCAACAAGTCCAGCTCCAAAACAGAAAAATTAGTGATCATCAATTATACACTTTTTTTTTTGGATTTCATTCTCCCATTGAACAATTCCATATGATACTTTAATTATATAAAGCATGCATTTGTAGTTTCTGTGTTCCACATTGTTTTTCTGGATAATTTTGTACGTCTGGAGGTTTGGTGGATTTGTTTACTTTTAAAGTCCAAAATGGTCCTGAAGAAAGCAGCTTTTTAAAAGTAAACAAAATGCTAGCTTTTCAGCTAAACCCATTTGAGATCTACAAATGTCTTCTGAGACACTGAAGAGACACCAAGAGCCCCCCCAGCTGCAGCACAGAGGAGGCATCACAAGAAGAGCTACAGGAAACAAAAAGGGACAAACGAGGAGATGTTGAAAGACTGGAGGAAGGGGCTGCAGGAGGAGCTGACAAGTGCAGGACACCACGCTCTGAAACGGGGACAAACCCAGGAGGTGGTGCACCGTTTCAGAGGATCAGAGGAGACAGGGCAGCCAGCCAGGTTTCCTCCAAATGCTACAGTTTCCCCGACCTCCAAGGTCATGCGGGTCAGGTCGACACAGTGGCAGCGCGGCTCAGCCGCAGCAGCTCAGGACAAACACCTGAACACTATTTCGTTGTGCACTTGTACAATGACAATAAAGCACTTATATAATATAATAATACTAATATATTTATATAACAGCATTTATGGTATATTACTTACCAATGAGAGTACAACGGAGTGGACATGCCCATTCTTGCTGCCGTTTATAGAATGTGAGAAGTTCCCGTTCTCTGTCCTCATCAGAGTCCCTTACATCCATCTTCATTCTCAGTGGTTCCCCAGACGCATGTTCCCTTAGCAGACTCTCTTTGTAAACCTTGGCAGCTTGAGCTGGTTCTTTAATAAGCTTCCATTCTAAACAATGATAATAAAGTTTTCCATTACAGGGAGACTTGGAGTTGGTGTGTTACATGCAGATACAGATATCCACCCAGTCTACAGAAAAGGAGAACAGTTATGTCTATGCCACTGACAAATATGTGAAACATCGTTAGAAACTGTTAAAAAGCTGAGATAAAAAAGCAAAATAGAATTCTGAACAAAAAGTAAATATTTTCAACTGAACATACTGTAACCTAGTTGCATCTTATAATATGTGCGTAATTCTATCGTCTAATCATATGTTGTTTTTCTATTGACTGAGTTTATATTACACACAATTGTAGAGAAATTGTACTGTGATGACATAAACCTTTGTCTTTGTCCTCAGTGTTAATCACTGCTGATACAACTGCACTCTCAGCTGATGTTCCAGGCCTCACTGGAACACTGTCATTGACTGAGGCTGTCTCTCTATCATTTTCTTCACTTGGACCTGCCCCTTGATCTGTTACCCGAAAAGAGTCCTGCATGTGTGTCCTTGAAGTGAACAAATTAAAATGATCATAATCATACTCCCTTTATTGTGTGGTCAACACTTTAAAGAG